CCCCCAACCACCACCCCCCCGTCCTCCCCGGTGTCTGTGTTTCTCTCTCTGGTCGGAGGCGGCGGTAATGGCGGATGGTGGGTTGTGGCGCCGGCGGCGGCTGCTGTGAGGGACGATGAGTTCCTCCTTCGTGCCGAACGGGGCCAGCCTGGAAGATTGTCACTGTAACCTCTTCTGCCTGGTGAGTGCAGGGGCCGCGGGCGGGGGCCGCGGCGAGCGGGGCGGTGGGGGAGGGGGCGGCGAGGTGCGCCCTTGGGCCGTGGGGGAGGGGGTCCGGGTCTGATCCAGATGCCCGAGTCCCCAGGCTAGGCCCAGCCGGAGCCGACGCGGCGGCGGAGCTCCGCACCAACCCCGGGAAACACGTTCGCTCACCCACTATCCTAGGCTCTGGTTTAGGAGTGCTGGCTTTTTTTTTTTCTTGTTTCCGACTCTTGCTCACCGTAGTCTTGTCTTCAACTTCTGCTCCTTATCTGGCAGGACGCTCACATTTCCCTCTGTGTTTCTTGCTTAACTATTGCTTTTCTCCTTATTGGCCCTGTATCCCTTCGTAACACTTTCCATTATTGCCATTCTCCCAGTGTCTTTATTCCTCACTGTTAATTTGGTTTCCCCCAATAAACAGGACACCGGAACTGAGGTACTAAAAATCTCTCTTCCTTTTACATTTTCTAATGAGTCAAGCTAACAGAAGATTAGTTTCTCCCTTCGATAAGTTCAGATCTCTCTGTAAAAACCAGTAGATACCATTTCATATGTTTTCTCTTTAAACTTTGAAAACAGTTTGCCATTTTGACAGTTTCTAGCCATCTTGCTTTTATTAGAACATGTTTGTGTGAGAGTGAAACGGACTAATGGAGGAGGTTCTATGGTTTTGCACTAATTTTTTTTTTTTTCGTATTTGTTTTCCTTGCATTTTTAGAATGCTTGGGCAGGCTGCTCCTCGTTTTATTGAAAAGTCTAGGGAAGCTGGATGCAGGAATGACAATTGTATAGGTTGGCCCAGTTTTGGGAACATCCACAGTTAAGACTTTGAAAACTACCAACTGTTGCAAATATTTAGTCCTCAATTGGACAGTAGCTTAGCTTCATCCATGATGTAAAGTTTCGGTGACTTTATTTTTTGTGTGCTAGGAGAAATATTAAGAGAGTATGTGATAGGTAAGTGAACTGAGTGGGCGGAGCACAACTAGTTGGCAAGTGTAAACTGCCAGTCATGTATCAGCAGTTTCATTTTTGGCACCTTATGCTTTGCACCTCTTAAGTTAAAGAATTACTGAATTCCCTCTGTTAAATTTCTTTCACTGTGCCAAATTGGGATTTTTAATGCCCTTCTCTCTTGTAGAATGTTTTCTTGTACAATGTCCATTAATCAGCATCTCTTCAGATGCAGTAAAACATAACAGCAGGTTTTATATTTCTGTCTTCTCTGACTCTATTTTGGTACTTTTAGGATCAGGTTCTTTGAAAATAGACTAGTACAAATCTGACAGTTCTTTGTGAGCACCTATTTCACTTTTCCTAAAAGGGATATGTGAAGAACTAACAATTTTTTCAGTATAGTTCACATTTCATTAGAGCCATCACTTCTATAAACATGAAATGATGAGTCTTTAAAAATTAATTTTCTGTTACAAGTGTGACACCAGGGAGTAAACGTGACCAGTTGGAACAAAACTACGTGTGCAGTATTAAAGTACATGTTTATATTTAACATTGTTAAGTTTCTTTTACATTTCTTTGGGACACATTTATTGCTATTCAGTGACATGTCAGTGTTAATATTTTAGCTGTTTTTGTTCCTTTCCTTAAATTTTTGGTTGAATGATCAAAGAATCATTTTTTTGGTCAATCTGCTTTAACATCTTAATATATATTGAAAAATTGTAATGTCTCAGTGAAATAAGGGGCTTTAAGAGAGAGTACTATTGGGGTGCCTGGGTGGCTCAGTCTTGAGGCGTCTGCCTTTGGCTCAGGTCATGATCCCAGGGTCGTAGGATGGAGCCCTGCATCCTTGCTCCATGGGAAGCCTGCTTCTCCCACTCCCCCGCTTGTGTTCCCTATCTCGCTGTCTCTCTCTCTGTCAAATAAATAAATAAAATCTTTAATTAAAAAAAAGAGTTACTATTGACTTTGAATGAATATGCAGTAATAATCATGCTTTCTTTTCTTTAGGCTGACTTGACGGGAATTAAATGGAAAAGATATGTATGGCAAGGCCCAACTTCTGCCCCTATTCTGTTTCCGGTGACAGAGGAAGACCCCATTTTGAGCAGTTTTAGTCGCTGCCTTAAGGCAGATGTACTTGGTGTTTGGCGGCGAGATCAAAGACCTGGAAGAAGAGAATTGTGGATATTTTGGTGGGGTGAAGACCCCAATTTTGCTGACCTTATTCACCATGACTTGTCAGGTGAAAGCAACTTATTTCTAACTAATGATATATAGCAACATTGTATACTTTTTCTAAAAATCATTTATATTACAAATTAAGATTTTTTTGTGTGTGTGAAACACTATTAAGTGTGAAGCCAGATAAAAATTGAGCTTACTGTTATATTTCACTGTGGTTATTTTATTTTACTTAAATTATCCATATTATGTCAGGTTTTAGCCTTAAGTAACTGTTCTTTCACCAGCCAGGTTCCTTGTGAATTTCATGCAGACAGGGCACAGGGAAGGCCTGTTACCTAAGAAAAATGAAATGGGGGAGCATAAAGTTGCTAACAAAGTAATTTGCAGGCACATGTAATTCACCATTTGAGTCCATTCTGCCACTGCTCTCTTCCCTATGATTATGCAGACAGTTGTAGGAGTATCTAGAAATACTGTAACTTTCTCATGTGTTTTTTTCCAAGGCATATATTTATTTTGTTTTTAATTGTCGTTACATTAACATATGAAAGCATATGTTAATTTTGTTATTCTTGGAGAGTGATTCTTTTGTTTTAGATACTGTTCCTTCAAACACTCACTAAAATGAGACTAGTGCCAACTTGTTTAGCTTTTTTTTTTTTTTTTAAAGATTTTATTTATTCATTTGACAGAGAGAGAGAGACACACAGCGAGAGAGGGAACACAAGCAGGGGGAGTGGGAGAGGGAGAAGCAGGCTTCCCGCTGAGCAGGGAGCCCCGACGCGGGGCTGATCCCAAGACCCTGGGATCATGACCCGAGCCGAAGGCAGACGTTTAACGACTGAGCCACCCAGGCGCTCCCAACTTGTTTAGCTTTTATAGGACATGGAATCATACTCTGAAAAGTTACACAAAAATAATTTTATTATGAACCTATCAATAAGACTACTTCTATCTTAATTTCTTGATTTTTATGACCAAATGTTACTTTAGAAAGAGAAACTGTAGCTCTTCATGTAGTCACTGAAGCTTGTGTTTCCTTTAGACTCTTAAGAGTCAATGTTAACTGAATCTTTGGTGATAGGAATGTAAATGATTAGTTATTTGCTGCAAGGTACCAACGACTTCAGCAAGATGTTTGGTAATGATTCTTGACAGGTAAATTAAGGATTTTTTGATAACTTAAAAAAGCATTCTTATTTGAAATTGAATACTCTGAAGTTTCTATTACTGTCCATTTGACCTGTAAGACCTATTTTATTTTTGGATGTAATGTAATCCAGGTGACCGTCTTAAACAAGCTCTTAGTAAGACTAATGTTTCTGTAGGAATGTATGTGTTACATTTGTTTTGATAGTTCCTTTTACCTTCTAATGAACAAACCCTTCACTGCTAATCTTTGAGAGTGATTACAATTCTTTTATGATAAATGCTTTCTAGCTTTGCTAGCTTTTCTAATAAGATCCCTGCTGGGGATATTAGTTCTTAGTTCTGAGTATGCATTGTAGTTCTAAATGTGTAAAGTGATGTGTTTACATATGTATGTGTATGTACAAGTATATGATATATATATATATGTCAGGATATGAAATTTCTTTATTAAGCTTGCTGGCTTTTTTCTTCCATTCACTTTGGTATGCTGGAGTTATTTTATTCTTTTAAGTGGTCATAAAGACCACCTTAACTAAAATGTTTGGAGACTGTTTTAATGTTATTGATAAACTATAAACTATATAAACTAGTTGATAAACTATAATGCTGACTTGGGGATTTCAGTATTAATAAAGTTGGCAGAGCGTTTGAACAGACCACTTTTCTTCCAGATTTCGTGTAATACATTTTGTAGAATCAAAGATAATTTTAACAGATGTGTAGTATTTAGTTTTACCATCATAAGACTAGTATTTTGAAAGTCTATTAAAATTAAATGTGAGCTGTTTTGATGTATATTAAAACACTATGTGGATTTTTCCCTCTAGATTCATGTTATGAGTTAAATATGTTTTCTCCTAAAACTGGGCTACAGTTTAATAAATAGCTTCTGTAGTTTAACTTTGCTTTTTTGCATAATTTTAAAAAAATGGTAATACCTGTAGTTTAAAATATTGATCTTGAATGTGAATGAATATAATTTTGGAAGATTAGGTTTTAATTATTGTTAGATTTTGCTGAATGCCATTGAATGATAATTAACTTTAAAACATTTATCAGAGTGAAAGCAATTGAAATAGCAAAGCAAAATATATTAGGAGTAGTATGTATAATCGTAATTACCATTCCAAAGCCTCTTCTGTACTGTTTTAAACAATATGTGTAGTCAGTGGTATTTATGTAATGTTTTACCTTTTTTTCCCCCCAACTTGTCATTTACTTTAGAATGTTGTTACTTAAATCAGACGTATCTTAAAGAATAATAAGGTCTTTTCAGATGGAGTATATTTGTCTCGCCCTTTCTTTGCTCCAGGGACACCGTCTGCCTCCCTTTTGGGATAATTAGTCTGCCTCTGTCTCTCTAGCTAACCCCTTTTTCATTTCTTCCCATCTGTGGCACTCTATTCCCTTCTTTTAAGCTCCCCTGAGAAGAGAGCAGCTGGACAGTAGGGGTGGCATCAGCTGCAGGAGGCAATCCTGAGTTCCAAGTGGAGGTGTAGCACTGAGGAAAAGGGAACCGGAAGGACCCAGGTGGTAACTAAAAAGCTGGTTAATTTAGTATGAGCTTGCTTTTTGCAGGCACAGGCAGTGCCCTTCTGTTTGGTTCAGCACCTACCTCATCTTGTTACTGAAATGTTTGTGATTATGGTTTTATTTCCCTTCTTGATGAGCGAAAGAGGGAAGGCATTCTACTTTGAAAAGATTAGAATTGTTTTTCTTATTAACTGAAATATCTAGTGATAAAAGTACAGAATTGCCTTTGCTCAACCCCCTTATTTCTTTCGTGTCATCCATAGTGTATTTTAAAAAATAAACTTTTAATTTTAAAATAGTTTTAGATTTACATAGAATTTGCAAAGATCGTATAGTGAGTTCCTGTATAACCCTCACCCAGCTTCTTTTATTGTTAATATCATATATTGTGTACATTTTTCACAACTAATGAACCAATATTGATATGCTGGTATTAACTAAAGCCTGTACTTTATTTGGATTTCCTTTATTTTTACCCAGAGTTCTTTTTCTATCCTATGTTCTCATCCAGGATACTACATTTAGTTGTCATGTCTCCTTAGGCTGTTCCAGATTGTGATATTTTCTAAGACTTGCCTTGTTTTGATGATCTTGATCGTTCTGAAGAATCTGATCAGATTCTATAGTGCATTTTAAATTTTGCCTGTCTGAATATCATGTAGCATGTGTTTAGGTCATTTTCTTTTCAAGGTGTAGAAACAGAATGTAAACTTATGTTATTGCTAATTGGTAAAAATCTGTTATAGCAAAACAAATCTAATTTGATACACACTTTAAACCCTCAGTACTTGTTTTGTAGCAGTGGTAGTCAGTACTGTTTAGTGATTTGCAAAGACCTAATGATTTTTGGGTTAGGATTTTTGCTAACTAGTATTGCCTAACTTTAACATTCCAGGAAGAGATTTGTTCGAAATATCCCTTGAATCCCAAAGTCAAAAACTAACTTTTTTTTTTTTTTTAACTTTTTGGTCTGCTTCCTCTGAGAGAATGGAGAGTTGAATTAATATGGTTTGATAGAAGAAGGATTAGGGAACAAAACTTTTCTCTGATTACAGCTTTTTAAATTTTATTTATTTATATGTATTTTTTTTAACTTAAAATTTGTAGCAGACCTCATTTAGTGGTTGTATGATAGAGGTGTAAAATCGGTTCTGGGAAAATTTTAACTTAATTCCTCTGCTCACAAGTCTCTATATAATAGGTAGGACTGGTTCTTTTAAGTGTACTATTAGTTTGCATCAAAGCCAGGATTGTTTTATTACCATTAGTGTGTCCTTGATGGGAGAAGAGTTTTCTGGGTATTTTTCTTTTGTGCTTTAACCTTTTTGGAATTTTATTGCTGTCATTATTGGCTTTTAGTCTTTCCCTTAAAACAAAAATAAAAATAAAAACTCCCTCTCCTGAGGTTGCATCTTTAAAAAAAAAAAAATCATAGCAAGCTAGACTGTGATGAGACTGAGAAAACTGATACCTTGAGACTAAAAAAACAGACTCAGGGCTAAAAATATTTGTTATTTTTTCTGGCTCCTGTGGTGTATATATGGGATTTTAGCAACTTGTCCAAATACTTTCATTATACCAGAATTTCATCATAATACTGTCAAACTAAATGGGCCATTGGTTGCTCTTAGAATTTAATTTTAGATTCTTTTATTGAAGGATATTATAGTGGAATTTAACCTTAAGTGGCAGCTTTAACAGGATTGACAAACAGATAAATAGCAGCCAAGTATAGGAATCTAGTGTCAGCCAAATAAAAAAAAATTGTGTGCATGAAGCGAGTTAATTCATTTCTATCTTCTGTTCCATAGTTTACTTGTGACGAACTTTTTGTATTGACTGGTCTTCTAGGAACACTTTTATTTGTCATATTTCTTCTGTGTACTGCCCATTTTGAGCAAGAACATCTTTTAAATCTTCAAATCAAAGATAATCATCAACATATATTCAGCGGATTTTTAAACCAGAGTTTTTCAGGTTTTGCCATAGATCAGTGATGCTGCCAGCCTAAGGCTCTGAGTAATATTTGTTGAATGAATGGCTATGAATGGGCAATTATTTAAGACAAACACTGAATTAGACATTTAAACATTTCTCATTTTCTATCATTTTTGACCCATTCATTATTCATTAATATATGTTGTGTTTTAAAAGCTTGGCAGAATTATTTAGGAAAAGAGTCCATTTTTACTGGTTTATTACTGTGGAGATATTTAAAGATGTCAGTTTTGAGAAAAATGTTGAATACGAGTACTAGGTGTGTCAGCTTTTTCATTTTTTTTCCCCTATAGTGACAGTATTGTTTTGATGACCTATCACATAGTTTGTCATCACTATAATCTGTATCCTCAGGAAAATATTTTATGGTAATCAAATTTAGCATTTGAACTTTTGCATTGTTTTCAAATATTTTGTAAAAATTTTTCAGGTAATGATGAAGAGTTCTAATGCTAAGAGTTCTAATGGAGGGGCGCCTGGGTCAGTCATTAAGCGTCTGCCTTCAGCTCGGGTCATGATCCCAGGGTCCTGGGATCGAGCCCCACATCAGGCTCCCTGCTCAGTGGGAGGCCTGCTTCTCCCTCTCCCTCTGTCCCTGCTTGTGTTCCCTCTCTCGCTGTGTCTCTCTCTGTCAAATAAATAAATAAAATCTTAAAAAAAAAAAAAAGTTCTAATGGAAAATTACTATAAACAAAATTTGAACCTATTTTCTCTGGGGATACAGATACAAGAGGAGAAAAACATTTATTTAAATGCATTAAGCAGACTTTCCATTAGGCTGTGGTTGATTAAAATCAAAAGAGCTAGGTAAAGATTTGCTATATGTTCCCTTCTACCTCCCTTCTCTATTATGATACTGGTGTTGAGATTCAGGGACTGGTTTTAATTAGTGTAAGAGGTACATATCACTATCTTGGGTGGGTTGGTTGTACCATTTCACTTTTCATATCTGAATACACATGTAGAGAAGTACTTTTGCTATGGTTATTATAACAGGCTATTAGAAGATTGGCTGAGTAGACTCTTATTTCTAGGTGACCCCCCCTGCCCCCACACACACCAAAAACAACAGCAGCAAATCTTCAGGCTTTTCATTGAGTGTTATTAGGACTTATTTCCTCAGCAGTGAAAAATGAAATTGTTGCTTTAGTATAATAGTTGCTTGCTATATAGGTGAAGATATACTTGATATTTGTTGGCTTAGAAAATCCTTACAGGTGTCCTTTCTTCTTTGTTTTATGCATAACTCCCATTTAGTGTTGATGAAAATTGTGGGCGTTTGAGGATATAATGTAAAATGAGGATTAAGTTCACCTAAATTTCTCTAGATAAAAGCATTAAGTTCCCTAGAACTAGAGTTTCCCTAGATAAACTTTAGAGCAATGAGGGAGAAATGCTTGAAAATTAGTACTGATGAAATTTTTAAACTATATTTAGTATTCTTAAATCATTTAACTTCAGGTTTAACTGAGATAGATTTTTAAAATAAAAATCTTCAGAATTTTATGTAAAAAATGTATGCAAATTATTGTATTACAGGCTTTTACTATTCCAAAGACTTTTTTATTTACTCTTTGTGGGAAGAAGACAAATTCATTCTCAAGTTTTAAGTGAATAATTTTCTGATAATTAAAGTTTATAGAGACTGAGCAACTTTGATATGTAATGTAACAACTCTATGTCTTGGATCTTGTGGCTTTAAAACTTAAAACTAGTTAAAAAGATTTTGGTAAACGTATAGGACAAATGTTACAACCATTGGGCTTCTCAGAAGGTAAGGATTTTTGAGAAGGAAATAAAAATAAAGTATACTAAATAGATTACAAAGAAGTGAAGAACTGGGAGATATTCCAGCATAACTGGAAATTAAAAACATGCATATTTTTAGTAATCATAGATCACAATTTGAGGTAAAACTCTTAATGTGACTAATTTTGAAATGACTATGATTAAGCTGAAAGCAGATTGATTAAGATTTATTTTTTTTCTCTCAGCAACTCACGAATGTACTTGTGATCTAGACCCTTAAATAATGGAAGTGAAGTCACTGTGTGCCATTTCCCTTTTCTCCTAGACTACTGTTTTAATAAAGTGAAACTTGTGAAGTTTTGGCTTATATAGACATATATAAGGTGGTCTACAATATAATAGAATGTAAAACCTCTTTTCTTTTAAAATTAATGCTTAATATTAATGATTTAAAATTATTCCAACTCTCAAGTACTGTCATTTTTTTAAAGCTTACATCATTTTCTTTTTTTTAAAGCCTGCCTTTTTGGAAAAATAATTAGCTGACTTGAAAGACTTGACTAATTTAGGAAACACTTCAAAGAACAACATAAAATCAACATTAACCTTTGTAGTGCCACAAATTTCTAGTGCAGTTAAAGTCCACTGTCATTATGCTTTTTAGTTAATGTTTAGTCTGTCCATTTGTTGTGTAGATTATGAATATAATCTTAATACATGCTTCTGCTTTTATTCAAAAGCATCATAGTTTATTATTATTCTATGGGTATAGTGTAGACATTTTTAGTGTTGAATTAAGGTTTTATCATTTATTTTTTACTTATATTGAAAGATGACCCATATTTATAAAATGTTATAAAAAGTATACAGGCTATGGAATGATACTAAATTATATTTGAAATAATAAGTTAAAAGCCTAAGTATCATTTGTAGCAGAATTCATTGGATGCTTTGTTAAAGATATGAAATGGATAGAGAATAAACTTTTTTGAACTACTTCTAGACTTATCTAGAAATAACTATGTTAACATTTTTTTGGTAAGTTAACTTAAAGTGGTTAATAGATGGGCTGGCAAAATTGAGGCCGTATAGTTAGGGTAGTTATAACTTTGTATTAGAAGTTCTATTTATTTTTTTAAGATTTTATTTATTGATTTGAGAGAGAGAGAGAATACGAGTAGGGGGAGGGACAGAGGGAGAAGCCGACTTTCCACTGAGCAGGGAGCCCAGTGCTGGACTCCATCCCAGGACCCCGGGATCATGACCTGAGCGGAAGGCAGATGCTTAACCGACTGAGCCACCCAGACACCCCTAAAGACTTAAATTTTAAATTGAACTTCTGGGGCACCTGGGTGGCTTCCCAGGTCTGCCTTCCACTCAGGTCATGATCCCGGGGTCCTGGGATAGAGCCCCGTGTTGGGCTCCCTGCTCAGCGGGGAGCCTGCTTTTCCCTTTCCCTCTGCTTCTCCACCTGCTTGTGCTCTCTCACTCTCTCTCTGTCAAATAAATAAATAAAATCTTTTTAAAAAAATTTAAGTCTTTATATTTTAAAATTTCTTCCTCAAGCAGAGGATCCTATATTGAAGAGTAATGGGAATCATTTGGTTGAAATGAGATTGAAGGTGGCATAATGCATCGCTTGTTAGGCTCTGTGCCAAAAGCTTCCTTTTTATTCATCACTTATTTTTATAGTTGAGTCATGGATTAGAATGCTGATGGACATAACATTTTTTGAGTTAATTATTAACTGGCTAGTTTTTTTTGGCAGGCTGAATGACTGGAGGAATTAGGACAAAGTAACAAGTGAGCCAGCTTAGAAATTGGCATCTTAGGTATAGCGTGTCTTTAATGTTTCCCAGCTTATACAAATGTTCTTTGCATTGATACAGAAACCAAATCAGTATGTTTGCAATATATCATTGACTTTTTATGCAGTGGGAAAATAATTTTCAGGTACTTTAATGGAATACATGACACTTGCGCATTTTACTCCTTATGGAGTAACTTTGAAACCTGATACTTTAATGTTTAGATATATTGAAGTGGTGGTAGCTCAATATTCTGAGGTTTAGTTGGGTTTATGTAGTAGGTGTAGTAGTGTTTATGAATTTAAACCGTAACACTTTTTACTTGGCTCTGAGTAGATATAGTGCCACTACTTTACTTTTTGTTTCTTTCATTTCTCTTGTAGAAGAGGAAGATGGAGTGTGGGAGAATGGACTTTCCTATGAATGTCGTACTCTGCTATTTAAAGCAGTTCACAATCTGTTGGAACGGTGTTTAATGAACCGGAACTTTGTACGCATTGGCAAATGGTTTGTAAAGCCTTATGAAAAAGATGAAAAACCTATAAATAAAAGGTAAGCTATCTCGTATAAACTCTTAGCATTTCTTTAGGTTTGTTAATTTTTATAGCTTTACAGAAAATGTGGACTGAAACAAGCTGTCTTACATATGCAGGAAGTTAAGTTCAGCAAAGTACTATAAGTATTCAGTTTTCTTTGACCACTTCACCCTTTCTTTCATGCATTTTAAGAATTTTCTTGAAGTGGGAATAGGCTGGATGTCTAGTGACCTAAATTTTTATTTGGGGCGATAGAAAAATGTGGGGTGAAAGCAGAGGCTTAAGCAATGAAGTATATATTTTTAATAGTAGTGCAAATATATCTACAGTACTCTGTTAAAATTAAGTAATATTAATACTTATTAAAGATAGTGATCTGTAGTTGTGTTTTGGATTGAGTTAACGCTTCTCATTCCCAAACCTCTAATTTTGCTTTAAAGTAATTTAAATTTGTGTTTTTCTATATAAGACATGTTTACTTTTAGAGTGTAATTTTCTTGAACTTTGAATTAAGCAAATTTATGACACTAATTTGTAGAGTAGTTGCAGATAGAGACACAGAAGACTTTAAGATAACTTCTTTTCCTGTGTAGTTAAAACCTTTAGATTGCTACAGTATTTATTTATTTTTAGATTTTTATTTACTTATTTTGGGGGGGAGAGAATGCATGAGAAGGGGGGAGGGGCAGAAGGAGAAGGAGAGAGAGAATCCCAGGCAGACTCCCTGCCAAAAGCAGAGCCCAACTCGGGGCTCTGTCCCACGACCCTGAGATCATGATCCAAGCCGAAATCAAGAGTTGGCTGCTCAACCAGCTGAGCCACCCAGGCTCCCCAGTTCTCTTTGGTTTAAATATGATATAAGATACGATCTCTTAGAAGATTTGGTCCTAAGCACTTGGTTAAATTAGTGAGGCTTCAAGAAAGATGAAACCGTAAGATGGGATGTGAGAGAAAAAGAAATTTTTTAGTTTTCCCTGAAAGATGTGAGGATATGAAGGAAACATTTGGTTATGTTGTATCATTGTTGAGATGCCGTCTTTTATGTCTTTCTTTTCGTATTTTTTTTTTAAAGATTTTATTTTTATTTATTTATTCGACAGAGAGAGTGAGAAAGTACAAGCAGGGAGGAGTAGAGGGAGAGAGAGAAGCAGGCTTCCCGCTGAGTAGGGAGCCTGACGTGGGGCTCGATCCCAAGACCCTGAGATCATGACCTGAGCCGAAGGCAGACACTTAACCATCTGAGCCACCCAGGCGCCCCTTTTTCATATTTTTTAAAAAAGATTTTATTTATTTGAGATAGCCATGAGTGTGTGTGGGGGGGGAGGGGCAGAAGGAGAGGGAGAAGCAGACTCCCGGCTGAGCAGGGAGCCTGCTGCGGCGTTCGATCCCAGGACTCTGGGATCATGACCTGAGCCAAAGGCAGATGTTGAGCCACCCAGGCGCCCCCATCCTTTATGTCTTATGTACACATTGTTTTCAGCGTGTAACTCTGGAGTCTTTTCAAACTTCTCTTTTTAGTTTTAGTAGAATGGATGAGTAGATAAGCCTGAACAAATCAAGGCTCTTTTTCTTCCTCTTTGAAAATGAACATAAACCTTTACTGTCAACAAAAAAATTGTACAAGTTAGGAATGAATTCAGTTGCAAAAGACAGAACACCTAACTACTTGGCTTATGTAGGAATTGATTTTTCTAGGTAGCAAGGAGTCTGGAGGTAGGTAGTCCAATACTGGTGTGTCTGTTCAATGATGTCATCAAGGACTCTGGTACCCTGGAGTTTTCTGTGATGTCATCTTTAGCCTTTAGCTTTCATCCACATGGTCTCTGTGAGCGTTGCCCTTACGGATTTCACTCACAGTGAATTCAGGCAGGAAGAGGAAGGGAGAAAGCAAGAAGGGATGACCCTTGTATCAGAAAATAGGTTCTTTCCTGGAGACTTTAGCTGACCTATCATTGGCTATACTGAGAGAAACAAATATTTTTTATATGGGAGCATTGCCACTCTGAACAAAATAAGGCTTCTGGTTAGTGAGAAGAAATGGAGAAGAGACATGAAGTAGGCAATTAGAAGAAGGGGAAATAAATGTCAGGTTGGTAATCAGCAGTGTTCAGCATATACATTAATACAGTTTTTAATTTTTTTTTGTTTTTTTAAAGATTTTATTTATTTATTTGACATAGACACAGCGAGAGAGGGAACACAAGCAGGAGGAGTGGGAGAGGGAGAAGCAGGCTTTCCACTGAGCAGAGAGCCCGATGTGGGGCTCGATCCCAGGACACTAGGATCATGACCTGAGCTGAAGGCAGACACTTAACAACTGAGCCACCCAGGCACCCCCACATTAATACAGTTTTAAGAAGTCAAGCAGATAACTGAGATCTAAAATGATTAAAAGCTGCCATCGGAGCACCAAATACTAGATGTGCTCCTCAGAGGCATTCCCTTTTAATTCTTTTAACTTTTAGTTTACCTATTTAAAAAATTTTTTTTTTTTTTAAATTTTATTTATTTATTTGA